GAAAGGATGCATGCCACTGGCGTCCTGGATAAGATAATTTTTTATAAAATATATAGATCAATGGTTATGGCTGATACTTAAGACAGAGCTAGAAAATAAGAAATCCTAGTCATTGGCCAACAGCATTGTAACTAATATATGACTCTGTGTGTTATGTGGGGGCCCTAACGTGACGGCGGAACTCAGGCAGCTGGCGGAAAGAGTTATTGTTGCAACATGTCATTTCCCCACAATGTACAGACACAGCTAGAGGGCACCATCTGTGAACCAGAACATGGGAATTCACCAAACACCGCATTTGCTGGTTCTTTGATCTTGGTCTTCCCAGCCTTCAGAAATATAGAAAATAAATGTATGTTGTCTATATGCCACCCAGTTCTGGCATTTTATTATGACCTAAACAGATTCAGGTGGAAACAGCCTAGCTAGACCCTCCTGCATGGGGCAATGGGAGACTAACAGGTTGGGAGGAACTACTCTTTTCAACCCATGATTTTCAAATGGAAATTTTCAAAATGGAATTTTCACCTGGAAAATATAGACTCTGTTCCAGGGCATGTACAGTGACACCTAAGACAACATTTCTAAAAAGTTCTCTAGAAATCTTGCTACCCCTTTCATGGGAGTAACAGCCAAGTAGATTGTCCTTGTCTGTGTGTATGTGTCCATTTCTCTCTCTCTCTCTCGCTCTCGCTCTCGCTCTCGCTCTCTCTCTCCCTCTCTCTCTCTCTCTCTGTGTGTGTGTGTGTGTGTGTGTGTGTGTGTGTGTGTTTAGAATTTGCTTCTTCAATCAGAGTTTACAGAAAAATTAACTACAAAACTTATTAGAAACAGCTTTCTGAGGGCTGAGGCTGTGGGTCAGCAATAAAGCACTCACTTCTCATTTATGACACCCTAGATTATATACCCCATCCCCAAAAATTACAAATGAAAAGAAACAGATTTCAGGTCCCCATCCTATGACACCCATCCCTACATACTGAATCAGGAGGTTAGACATGATCACTTACATTTTAATAGCTTCCAAGCCAACCTGATGCTGGTCCAGAAAGGGAGGGAGGGAAGAGAGAGGGGAATGAGGAGTTAGGAAGAGAGGGAGGGTGAGAGGGAGAGGGAGAGAGAGAGAGAGAGAGAGAGAGAGAGAGAGAGAGAGAGAGAGAGAGAGCTCTACAAGTGTAGCTCAGGCTGACACCTGGGAGTGTAGGAGTGTACCACCACTCCTGGCTACTGGGATGCGCTATCTAGCAGGTCTGTGGCTACTGTTGGGCATATTTCCTTGAGATGAATCCCACTGTCTGTAGAGCAGGGACTGAAGAATGAAGTGACAATTCTGTCTCCAGATGAATAAGGAGATTTGGGGTGATGCTGACTCTAGCAAGAGCTAGGACTGGAATCTGAGACATGGAATGAGGAGAAGGAAGCTAAACCACAACCCTGGCTTTCTAAGCTCTGTAGACCAATCTGACCTTGAACTCACAATGAACCCCTTGCCTGTGCCTTAATTTTTTAAAGAAAAAACATTGACATTTCTGCTCAGTTTAAATTCATGTGGTTTTAGTCTAGTTTTATTGTAAGTGTGTGTTCCTGCATTCTCTTAATTGGGAGGGGTTCTAGTGTTCTACAGTAAGGAGAGTAAGGCCAAGACATTTGCCAGGAGGTTGGGTGCCGTCTGGCTGCCTGCATGGACAAAATGAAGTCAAGGAATGCCAGAAGATAGGCCCAATATCCCCAGGAACTGCTCCCTTTCCTCCATGCTCAGAAAAATCCTTCAGAAGTCTCTTCAAGGATTTCATTTCCCTGTGAAGGGATACAATTAAGTTAATTTAGAAAGTATTTGAAAGGATAAAGAGTGAGAGAATAAAAGAGTTATCAGTAGAATGTGTGTTTAGTATGCTCAAGTTCTTGGCTTCAATATTCAGCACAAATAAAATAAATAAAGCCAAATTTTAAAAGAAAGTTGAAAAAGTTTAATAAAGCTACAGCCTTCTGAGACAGTGGGGAAACCATGCCCCTCCTTCATGTTCAGGTGCTGTTTGATGCCACGCCCAAGTTCTGTTGCACGCAGGCTGCTTGTGTCCACTCAGAACATCAGAACCAGAAGGTGCCCACTGTGGCAGGCCTAAGGCCCCACCAAGGCATGTCTGTTACCCAGGGGCTCAGAGATGTAAAGGTGTCATGCTGATAAATTACTCAAGCTTCCTTTAAGAATTTAAAACAGGCCTGTCTTAAGTCACCATTTAAAAACTGTTCATCTGGAAATCAAAGCAGTCAATAGGCCTGTAGCTCACTCCTGGCAAAACTTTCAAGGAAACTCTAGGACTCTACTGACACCTGCTGGCATTTGATCTATTTAATGTTTGAAAAGAACAACAGAACATGCCAAACCTTAACATTTTTCCTGTAGTCACCAGGACTCATTATACTGTTTGTTTGACCTGAGTAGTTGCACGGAGATGGGGGAGGGATGGAAGAACTTTCCCTCATTAGGAAGGGAGAGGTGGAACGAGCCATTGAGTGAAAATATCCCACATGAAGGCCTGCCCCAAGCCAGTTGCTCTGTGACTCTGGGCAAGGCCCTTGGATTTGCTTTCATCCTTGCAAAATGAATACAGCATAGCCCTCCCTGCCCAGTGCTGAGCAGACCCTGAGGATGGTGGCAGCATATGCTACCACATGGTTCTTGTGGTGACCTTTCCATTCTAATAAACAAGAGTCTTCCCCAATGCTGTTTTCAAGAAAATGGATGAAGGCAGCTTTAGCCTCCTCAGCACACACCCCCAGTGTCAGGTGGTTTTTTTCTAGAAATTAGCAAGATCAAAAACAGCAATGTTGTTTTCTCTGCACTGGCCACTTTTGTGCCGTAGGAAACTGTGGACTTCGTTCTGTGTTTTGGAATATTCAAGCCTTCAGGTTGAGAAAGTGCCCTCAGTTAATGCCATCCAAATTATTTGTGCTTTTTCTGTCTGCTCCTGGGAAACTGTGTGGGCCTGTGGTTTGTTCGGCCAATAACAGGATATTTAATAATCTCCCGGGAACCGAGTCCATATTTAGCCTGACAGAGGACAAGAAGCCTGATGATGAGGAACGAAGCAGTTCTCTAAAGTTCCTATTTCATTTCTTGCTTCTTTCACAGTACCCAGGCCTTACCTGTTTGTTGAAGCTTTTGATGCTATTTGCAGTTCTCAGAAAAATGGCCTTTGCCAGCTACAAAAGGAAAGATGCCTCTCAGAGCTCCTCCATCTTCCATCAGAAAGCTGTTAGCAATGACTGGAACATTCAGAGGCAGTAAAAGCCATTAGCTTCACACCCAACAGGATGGCACCTATAAAAAAGTAGGTGTTAGCGAGGATATAGAAGTTAGCACCCTCATGCACTGTTGGCAGAAATATGAAATGACACAGCCATCATGGAAAGCAGTGTGGCTTTTCCTTTAAAAGTTGAAAGAATTCTCATGTGATCCTGCAATTTTGCCTATGGGCATTTATGCGAAATAATTCATATCATTATTTTTAGTATCCAAAATGAAGAAGGAGCTTAGATATCCATCCAAAGAAGAATGGATGGATGAACCATGACATTCACATGTTAAATGAGAACATTATGCCTAGAGAATTAAGCCAGTCAGAACATGGCAAATCCTGCGTGATTATTCTTATATAAGATACCTAGTATAGTCTGTGTTTTTACATAGATACAGAAAACAGAATGGTGGCTTGTGAAGGCAAGGGGGAAAAAGGCACAGATGGTGTTGATGGCTGCAGGTCTTGCTGAGTTATCTAGCCCCTGAGAGGGAAGCATTTATGTTCTGTATGTTTTACCAAAATTAAAATGAGAAGACATCAAATACTGGAACCCGAACCACACCCTTATAACTCAGTCAGCAACTCAGGTCCTGCACAGATGGAATCTCCTGTCCTGATGATGTGCAGCCTGGTGCTTTTGGGCAATACTGTGTAGCAGTGCAGAGGGAACTTCTGTGATAACAACAGTGTTTCTCCTGAGCATTCTCAGAACAGTGCCTAGCAGCTTTGTCATGGCTTTGGAGCACTTGCACGCCAGCTGAGACATCCAATTTTAGGTCTATTCAATTTGAAATTAAGGAATCATGTGATCCATATCAGTGGCATTCACATTTGTGTTTACTACCCATTCTAAAATATATTTCTTCCATTGGCACTAACTGTAAACATAGGGAGGTAAGGAATGGACTTAATAGGAGTCTTAACTCTGTTTATTCCCAAGTACCAATTTGTTACAAAGCGTGTTGCCAAGGTGTCACTCATTCATGGCATTCATTATCATCAGATATTGGATCCAAGCGCAGTGTTGGCCTTAGTTCATGGGCTAGCTTTTTCTAGTAAAATGCCCTATTACAGACCCAAAGTTCTTCCCTTACATACTCAATCAGTCTTCACTTTTCGTTGTAAACCCACGGAGTGATGGTATGAACTACAACTGAGGTCCAGGTCCTTATACAGAAATCATGTGAGCACTTCCCTTCCTGTTCTGGGGTACCCTGGCAGCAGGCAAGGAATCTTACTTTTTAAGGCTTTGATGGAGAATGCTGACAGGTAAGCTATGTATGCAGCCCAGATGGAACATACTAGACAAGGGCCTCATCTCATTGTCTTCTAAAACGGAAGAGACAAATGTATCAGTGTGTACTGTACAGCATTGCTTAGGAATAGCTGAGCAACTAAAATAATAAGACTTCTATTTAAGCAGGCTGCAAGTAGAAAGCTTAGGAAGTCATCCAGTGGGTGTCATCTCTTTGAGGCCATCCAGTCTTTTGTGCCTGGTAGATGCCACATTTATCTTCACGGGAAGAATGAAAGCTGTATATTAAAGAATAAAATATAGCCGTGTAAAATATAGATGGATGTGTGGCAGGAAGGGGATAAAAGAAGAGTTTGTAGTTTTATTGCACAGAGGAGGCAGGCTGTCTAATAAAACACTGCAACTGACTGCTCACTGGGATTTTTTTTTTCTTTCCTTTTCAGCAATGGGTAGAAGGCCTGAGATCAATCATTCACAACTTCAGGGCCAACAATGTCAGTCCCATGACATGCCTCAAGAAACAGTGAGTTTTGTTTGCTACACCCTTTGTTCTTAGGAATTATCTACTAAGTGTTCTGATTAGGAGGTGAAGACTGCATCACGTTTGATCAGCCAGTGCCTGCCTGCCTTTCCTTCTGTACCCCTGACTTTGGAAGTTGACCAATCCACACACCCGTGTTTCTACCACTTAGCAAGGCACGTGTGATGACCCCTCTTCATGAAACCCGCATTAAACAAACAAAGAAACAAAAACAAAAACAAAACAAAAACAAAACAAAAAACAGGTCAACAGCCAAAAGCCACTGACTACTCAGTCCTTGAAGGGTTCTCAGCATTGGTTTTGTGTCCCCTAAACTCCACCTTCTGATAGATACCGCTGCATGCCCGGCCTGTAGTCTGGGTGGTAGGGTGTCTCTGGTCGCCACTGCATAAGGCTGACAATTTAAGGGTCTAGCCAAGAGAAGCATTTGAAAAAGCATCTGCTGCTGAGATAAAGCAGGAAGTCCTGGCCCCAGCAATACCACTTCCTGTTTAATATGTGGTCAGGGGTCTCAGGGTTCTTTAAAATGTCTTTCTAAATTTCAGTCAGGGCCTGAAGATCTTACTACAGCTCACTGTTTCTAGAATCCCAAGTGGCTCTACCACACTGATAGAATTGTAACCTCTCTCAGGGTCAAGTTTCTCAAATAGAAATTGCAGAAAATCAGTGGTCCATAATTGTGTGTGACTGCCTGCTTTCGTGGCGTCTTTGAGTGGCAGGTAGCTATGAGGTACCAAGACAAGCATGTGTAGAAGTTGTGGAGAAAAGCTTCTGTCTCTGAAAAATGAGACCCTAGCACCAAGAGAGTGATGAGAGTGATCCACTTATGCAGTATGCCCAAAGTCCCTTAGGTACTTTATGTTCTTAACCTTCATGGTTTGTTTAGAGGTTGCTTAACAGTGTGGACTCTGGGCTGTAAACACTAGCTTTGCCATTTTGGGCAAATCCTTAGCTTCATAGTCCTCCATTCAGAGAACCAGATTACCACATGGATGAAATCAGAAAGCACCTCACCTAGTGTCTGGCATCATCAGTGAAGGGAGTTCTGAAAGCTTGGGTAGGCACCATGTTTTGCTCAGTACAAACATTCAAGTTCTAATTCCCCTAGGGGTGTCAGATTTTAAAATATAGGACTCTTGGTTAAATTTGAATTTCAGGTGATAGATGTTTTACTGTAAATATGTTGTAAAGGTTACCAAGACCCATTAAAATATTGTGTAAGTTGAACTAAGTTCAAATTTTACTGAGTGCACTAAAATCTGAGGGCTCCAAATTCATCTTAGAATTATCTTAGCTTTAGAATAGATGTTCTGTATAAAGAAGCTTTTCTTCATGGTTCTTAATGTGCTGGTGGGACACTCTAAAACAGTGTTGCTCTTGTTTTCCAGCTGGATGAAACTGGCGTTTCTGACCAACACAACTGGTAAAATTCCAGTGAGAAGGTAAGCGAGACATTCTGTGCAGCTCTCCTTACCGTCATCATCCCGATCCAAAGACCCAGCCTGCTATAATATAATTGCATGTGCTCATGGCCTTTAAGATATTTCTGGATAGGCTCCAAAGTCACACAGAGAAATCCTGTATTGAAAAACCAAAAAAAAAAAAAGATTGTCAGTTTTTTGTATATTTTTTAATTTTTTTATTAATTTATTTTTACATTCCAATCCCAGTTCCCCCTCCCTCTTCTCCTCCCGCTCCTCCCACTTTCCCCATCCCCTCCCATCTGTTCCTCTGAGAGGGTAAGGCCTCTCCTAGGAAGTCTACTAAGTCTGTCCCATCATCTCATTGAGGTAGGACCAAGGCATCTCCCCCCCCATGTCTAGGCTGAGCCAGGTATATTCAGTTTTTTTTTTATTAATTTATTTTTTACATTCCAATCCTAGTTTCCCCTCGCTCCTTTCATCCTATTCCCTCCACTCTCCCCTCCTCCCATCTGCTCCACAGAGAAGGTTAGGCCTCCCATAGGAAGTCTACTAAGTCTGTACCATTATCTAAGTTGAGGCAGGACCAAGGTACCTTGCTACCCCCACACCACTGTGTCTAGGCTCAGCAAGGTATCTCTCCATATAGATTGGGCTCCACTAAGTCAGTTTGTACATTACTGTTAGGTCTTGTACCCACTGCCAGTGGCCTCATATATTGTCCCAATCACACCATTGTCACCTATATTAAGGGAGTCTAGTTTGGTTTTATGCAGATTCCTCATTTGTCAGACCTGAGTCAGTGATCTCTTACTAGCTCCTGTCAGCTGATTCTGTGAGTTTCCCCATCATGGTCTTGACTCCTTTGTTCATATTTTTGCTCCTCCCTCACTTCAATTGTACTCCTGGAGCTTGTCCCATTTGTTAGTGGTACATTCACTTTTTAATAATCACCAGTGGAAATAAAGTACAACTCCCCCAGAAAGGAAAAATCAACATAGTAAAGGATGTCTGGAAATACAGCACTGAATTTTAATCTGTGAATCACTGGGCTGTTATGATTTATATTGTGTTCCTCCACTTATCTGAGCATCAACGACCTCCCCCCCTCTGGCTACACCCCTGTTGTGAAGGTGTACTGTGGCAAGTCTGGGCCTCTTGCCAGCACCTCCTCACCCAAGGTTGCTGCTCATCTGGTCCCAAGAGAAGGTGGGGCTTTCCCAAAATTCAGCTGCTGCAACAAAGTACCATAGACTTCAGCATATACAAACCCGAAGTTCCTTTCTCACAGTTTGGGAGGCTGGGAATACATGGCCAGAGTGCCAGCATGGGCCGTACAGATTGCAGACTAATTTCTTCCAGCTGTGCCCATATCTGAGGAAAGAGGGCTAGAGAACTAACCATCTCAGATGTGTTTTAAAAGTGTGCTAACCCCAACACCCAAGAACAATAAAACCACCTCCCAGTGGCCCCTAAAAGCAGCACAGTGGAGTTGAGTTAGATTTTCATATCAGACAGACTTCCTCACATACCCTAGTTAACAGTGACGGAGAACAAAAGGCAGATGGAACTCAAAAGGAAGAGGGTGTGAGCCAGAAGCATCTTCCCCATGTGTTCTCTCATAGTTCTGACATATTTCATCCCGGGAGGAGTCCCCACACACCCCTCTTTTCTGATTCTCACTTCCTTTCACAGTTTAGGGTTTGCTAATGGTCTGTGTGTAGCTGTCAGGGCTTGTGAAGGGAGACACGGAAATTCTTGACTAAATTCTCTTGACTAAACTTGATCTTTATGTAAGCATTCATAGACATCAAAGAAGCTGGGCTCAGCCCTAGAGCAGCAGTGTGTGTCCACATGAGGCCAGGAGATATGTGCCTGTAACCTGAAGCAAACCCAGACTCCCTGTATACCAACCTACTCTTCCCAGGATTTTGTGACTCAAATTCATGTTTATGTTTTTTCTGGAAATGACTTCAGTAAAGACACAGACTGACAAAACAATGAAACCTAGAAGAGTGCGTCCTAGACTGGTCCATCTTTAACACACGACAAACAAGTCAGCAAGCTCAGAACACTTGAATGGGTGGATGCAAATTTAGGTGTGGCATTGTGGTCACTCCTGGCCATTTCCAGGGTTCTTTTCCCTCTTGTCTATCTACATACTCCATTCTATACCACAGTTTCTATTCTATAGACCTGTGCAAATGTCTCCATTGTTATACAGAGCAGAACCATCCTAGACACCCATCGGATTTCTTAATTCCATATTTCTCAATCCATTTTCTAATTTACCATGGAAAAAAATTAAATGAAGCATAATAGACAGTGTGTCCCACATGACCATCATATGTACTCTCCAAAGTATGGATATGCACTGTCTATAAGACAAGAGCGGTAAGAATTTGGAAACAATGAAATAACTGCCTTTCTGCTGCTCAAGTTAAGGTTTCAATAAAATAAGTTTTCAATAAAATAAGGATCCTTCTGAAGTGTCTTTGGTAACAACTACCAGGCAGGGGTGCTCAGATGGATTTTTCACAAGCTTCTAAAAACCTGACTGGTTAGAAAAATGTTATTGAAAAATCTTCCTTTACTTGAGTAGTAGCATGGCAGCAAAGAATCCTATACATGGATCTGTTAAAGGCCACAACAAATGTATGAGCTCTGTGACCTGGTAACCAATCATGACAGGTCCTGGTTTCACTTGTCTGCCTTCCACCCATCACGGCATCATACCACAGTGGTGATTCTGCCAATCCCTGTGCAGCATGCTCACATGCAAAGTCATTCCCACCACTTGCTGGAAATGGTCTGCTATTTTGGCATTGCCTTTAGCTCTCTTTGACATGGATTTTTTTTTTTGGTGCTTGTCATTATTAATAGGTACTTAACACAAGACATCTGTGACTTATGGGCAGTTAGTTTTGAGTTGATGGAGAATTGATACCAAGCCAACAAAAGGCAGATAACTCTCCTAGTAGATGATCTGCCAAGGGTTAGGTAGAAATTGTTCTGAATGCTTTAATGGATGTGAAGGATAAACACTTTGTAAAATGTCACTTCATCACCATCATTCTAGGGTTTTAAAATGGAAACTATTAATGTAGTGCACATTGTGTTAAAACAGGATCTGGCATCACAGTCATCATTGTGTAGCTTGGGAAAGGCCCCTACTCTTGAACATTAAATCAAAACCTAATCCACAGGAAATTGCAGGAATGATTGATGAAGGGGCCCTGCTCCTTGCCTCCCTCTTCTCTTTTCTTTTCATGTTTGTGATCTTGCACATTCTGCCTTTGTCACAAACTCATCAGCTTGCTGGAGTTCATTCTTCCACTTAGACCATGCTCTGAAAGTAACTTTTCTATCTCACATTCCTTGTAACCCAGAATGTGACCTATGGCTAGAGATTTGAGTGATGGAGATCTACATTGTTGTGGACAGTGACTGGAGGGGCTACTAAAGGAAAGGCCAAAAGCCTCAGGTATAATAATACCAGCAACCTGGTCTACACTATCCATCCATCTATGTCCTGAAGCTGCAGCACCACACAAAGGGCAGTGCCCTGCTCCTACACTAGAAGAAGTCTTCTGTGACTGTATCAGAAATTGGTATTCAAAAGTCTTAGAAACATTGGAGATCACATATGGGCAAAAAGTGGACTCCCTTCTATGCTCATATTCTCCTTGTCATTAACAGGTACCCTAGAATACAGAATTTAGCCAGAACTGTGGTAGGACTGAGAACACCTCCAGTGTGTTTGCTTTCGTAATTCCTTTAAGGGATGGGGTAACAGTTTATTTTGATTGAATAAATTCTCATTCAGAAACTAGGAGTGTAGCGTAGTTGGTAGAGGCTTTGCCTACTGTATTCAAAGCCTTGGTTTCCCTAATCCAGGTTTGATCGCATGTGCCTGTAGTCCCAGAACTGCAAGGCTGTAGGGAGTTCCTGGCCATCCTAGGCTAGAGACCCTCTCTCAAGAAAAAAAAAGAAATCTCATTGAGCACCTGGTAGCTTGAAGAACTAAGAAAGTGGACCTCTTTAGCCAGAGAACTATATAGAGGTTATAATAATGTCACAGTCCCTTCACCATCATGCTATTAGTAGGGATGTTGCCAAGAAATGCTCCCCTGATGTCTAAGATGTCTCAAACTGTGTGATTAGTGTGCTATTCTCAGAACCCTGGTTAAAGTGCATCTTTCTGGAAAGGAGAGAATTCAGATTCGCTCCTTATCTTCCATATCACAGTAGATGAATTTTCAGACTCAATAATGATTTGGAAAGATGTCTGGAACAAAGGCAATAAACATTACTCTAGGGAAATAGTCTGATTGATGCTCTTGGGCCTATTTTCCATTCTGGGTTGCTTCTCTTCTCTTCTTACATACAGTGAGAAAATGTGTCTGTAGGCTGCCCAGCCTAAGCCTACTTACATCTAAGAAATCAGCACTGCTCTCTCTCATCTCCTTGTTCCTTGACTTTCTTGTTCTAAGCCCTGTTTCTTGACATTTAGCCATGTACGCACCAAAGACTGTTTTCCCTACTTGTCTCACACCCCTCCCCATGGTGCCTTGGTTCTGCCTTACAGAATTGGCTTGGACTCCATGTCCTTGTGGCCACAGTGGTCAGTTTTCACAATGTTATAACCAGTCCTGTCTAACTTTGCAGCCTTGAGTCATCTGGAAGCCACCTGAGATTGCCATGCACAGGCACCTAACCTTGCTGTGGCCCCCTGGTTATTATTTCAATGCATACTTAAAGAAAGACACCTTAGTAGCCACTTGCCCTTAAATTGAAAAGGTTAAATGGTATCTTATCACAAATCAGTGTCTAAAGGCTAAATGAACTCTCGAGACTTGAGAAAAATATAGACATAACACACTATGATAGAAACCCATTATCTGCTTTACTTGCTGTCACAGCACACCTGGGCACCACTGTCAGCCTCCCTTATGCTTGAATACAGTTTCCTCAAGAACACTTAAAAATACTTCTTGGAGTCTTCGTGGACCTAGTATAGCACAATAATGGTTTAAATGGACACATCATAATGCGTTTATGGAAAGTTCCTTCCTCTGGGTCTAATTTGGTAAGCTGAACTCTACAGTTGAAGTGGTGCTTTCTCATACCTCCCAGGAGGAACTGGCTGTCAGTGCTCACATTCGTTGAACATAAACCATTGAACATCAACAGTGGGGTATAAGTGAGGTTGAGGGTGAGATGCCAGTGCTCCAATTGAAAAGCCACATTTCACTTGTGAAAGCCACCTTCACCTTGAAGTCAAGGCTGCCCTTCTGAATTTAACCTTTCAATGACTATAGTAACTCATGACCTGGGCTTCTAATGAATGAGTGAATAAGCTCCCTGGATAGTCAGAGACAAGGCTGAGAGCCATGTGTACTGTGTCTGGATATCAAATACCCCCTAACCTCTCCCACTCAGTTTTCATTCTAAGTTAACTCCAACACATTTACAATGTGTATCTCTCCTCCCTTTACATAAAGAAGATTGGCCATTAGGATGTTAAAATTTGACTAGCATTGATGTTCCCTTCACTAACTAGTTAAAAGGCTATTCAGAAATACTGTGTCTTGGGAAGCAACAAGATTCTGATGAAGTCATTAATTGGGTCCTCCCCCACCACTTCCATGGTAAAATCCCAGACCTTTAGATGGCTAGAATGGCAGGGTGTCTCATGAGTGCTTAGAATAACCAAAATATGTCTGGTCCTGGGATTTCACTGTAGTAAATTTGCAAGCCAGGAGAACAGGAGTCACACACAGGCTTTCCCTAAGTGCATCATTCACAAGCACCTTTAGAGCCACCATACATACCATCGGACACTTTCCTGGTTTTTCCTAAGAACATTGTTTCCTAGGATCCAAATGTATCACTGCATTTGTCCAACACCCACTTGCTCACAAGCACGTAAAGGGACAACATGTATTAGAATTGGCCCTGGTAACCAGAGGGAAGAGTTAATTTGGGTATGTAAAACACTGTCAAATAAAAAGGTAGTTTTATTCTCTTTCTTCCCCTCAACCCACCTTATCTAAGGTGTTTGGGTTGTTGTATTGGAGAAAATACAATGAACAGTAAGTTAGATTTTTTTTTTCTCTCTCCTGCTCTAGTATTACTAGAACCTTTGCGTCGGGGAAGACAGAAAAGGTGATCTTTCAAGCCCTCAAGGAATTAGGTCTGCCCAGTGGAAAGGTATTCACTGACTTAACCATGTTTCTAAATGCGTTGTCATTGTTGTTTGTTTATTCCTATGTAATAAGCTAGATTACTGTGTTAAACTGCCATCAGTTGGAGTCAGTAGCATAGCAAACAGTTCATTTTCTTTCTTCCCTTTCAATGACCATGTTAACACTTTACCAAGTGTTTTAAAACCCAACTATTTCACTTCAAAATGATTTTTGTCAACTTTATTAAGGTGAGATGAAAAGAGGGCAGCTGTTCTTTATACAATTTATGGAGCTTATTTTAGAACACCCAGCCATACTGCCTAAACCTAGCATAGCAACTGCATGAATTATTAACTAATAAACTCAGTTCCTCCAGACAGCCTTGCAGAATTTCATGGAGGATTTATTTCCATCCCATCCATTTATGTTCATGACCCTTTGTATTCAAGTCATTAAAATTAATTTTTGTGCTGCAAGAGAGACTTGTGCCTCTGACTGGGTTTAGAAGTCTCGCTTGAACGTTACAATTCGTTGTTACAGGTAAATTTATTGGTTGCTCCCGTCCCTTTCTGTGATCCTTTAAAAATTCCCAGAATAAGTGTAAATAAATACTGGGTTTGATTGTCCCATATCCTCTAAGAGAGCACTTACATCTTCCCTCAAGGAGAACTGGAAAAAATTTCTGTGTATTTGATCAATGAGGGATTTCCCAGAGACAGCTGTGCTAAAGGAAGGTGTCACTAAGTGTCTCATTTGTCACCCATGCCATCATGATGACTGGAGAAGCCTCATTTCACTTGCTGTGGTTACTCCGAATGTTCAGGGCTTTACTTCAGGACCTGGCAGATAGCCACTCTCTCTCAGGAAAGAGATGCTCCTTTAATACCTGACCCTTTTTATTCTCCACAGAATGATGAAATTGAGCCTGCTGCGTTTACTTATGAAAAGTTCTACGAACTGACACAAAAGATTTGTCCTCGGACAGATATAGAAGACCTTTTTAAAAAAATGTAAGTTTTCATTTTGAGGAAGTGTTATATAGTACTATCTTTACCCCTGTAAATTTTGAAACCATTATTGCTATAATCTTTAAATATGTGTTGCTAGCTCAAGTATGTCTAGTCAGGGTTACATTTTTCACCCCTTAATTTAGTAGCATTGAAGCCCACTCTGAGGTCTTCTTCTTTTTTTTTTTTTTTTTTTTTTTAGAAACTTACATAGATTAATTACAGCACTTGGAACGTCCCCCCCCCCCCCCCCCGGCATTGGCTTTACTAACGACCTACAATTTAACCTGCTCCTTTAGGTATTAACCCATTATGTGAACTAACTAGATTTCAATTTGGAATGTTAATATGTTGTTGGGAAGTCCATTCATTCCAGTTATTTCAAATGGATGACTTACATGTTGTTTCTGAAAGAATGTCTTTTGATAATGCTAAAGAATTGCATCTTGCAGGCGATTTCTGTGACCTAGTGGGAATGTTACCTTTCCTTTAACATGGTTGTTGGGTTCCCCCTGCCCCCACCACACTCCCTGACCACTTTGAGAAATCACCTACTTCAGCGTTAGAGAATAAGATTAGATTTATGAACAAATGTCAACATGTAAATCGTACCTACTGTAGCATCATATACAAAAACTTACTTTTTCTAATACATTTCTTTTCAGCAATGGAGACAAAACTGATTATTTAACGGTAGACCAATTAGTGAGCTTTCTAAACGAAGTAAGCTTTTTCATACATTAACTCCATAAGTCTGTGTGCAGTGGCTTGCCTCCCCAGTGTCCTCACTGCATGCTTGCGTCACGCACCCTTACTCGCTTGGCTTCTGACCTGCTGATCTTTCCATGATGGCTTGACCTGGTGCAAAAATCAGCTGCTGTCTGTGTGTCCTTGAGCTTCCTCCACGCTGGCTTTGCACACCACTTCCTGTTGGTTTCACGCTATGATGTGTAGCTCTGGTTCTGTGTGTATGTGTGAAATTTGTAATGTATTTATTTAATTAAATGTGTCTGTGTTTCTTGCAAGATGATTTTTAAGGTACTTTGATTCTGTTGATCTCATAAGTAGAAAAAGAATGGATTGAGTTTATGACACTATGTTTGGATTCTCCATTGCTAACTTTTCCTCAACCCTTTGCATGGACTCAAAACCTATATTTTTGTCTTTTAATTGTTTGCATGTAAGAAAAATACGTAGGTTCAAATATTTGACATTTGAGCTCCTAGGCAAATTATAGTGTTAGGCTAACTAGATTGCAGGTTAAATTTTTCACTCTTTATTTTCAAAACAAGTTCAGAGCTGAATTTAGAACACAATTCATTTAGTGACTAAAACTGGCAACAAAATTTGCTTAAGTACAAGAATAATATTTTAGACAAGTAAAGGTCACAATTTTTGCTATTATAACTAAAATGAAGCTTTTTCTTTTCATTTTTTTTTTTTTTTTTTTTTTTTTTTTTTTTTTTTTTTTTGCAAAACTCACCGAGGCTCTTTTAAAATTGAAAAGAATAATTCACCTTTCCCCCACAACATATAGTTAGAAAAGTTTGAATAAGGAATGGACAATACAGTCTTGTTCGGAGAGAATTTAAGTTCACAATCACACCATATAACAAGGACATGCTTGAAGGGGCAGGACTGAGCTGAAGGAGTCCTGTGCGGTGGTAGAACACAGACTTAGCATACATGAGGCCCTTGTTCAATCCGAAGCAGAGAGGAGGGAGCACAAGCATCATGTTAGAAACCAGGTGGTGCCTCAAAAAGAGAATGGCCAGGCCCTGGTTTGCCACTTTATATAAACAAATTACACCTTTGCCAAAGGTCTTTTCTTCGTTATGTGCAGGCTCAGTGGCTTCCAGGGCCACATCTGAAACTTGACACAAGCATACATGTTCTGTGAAAAGAAAGAGAGGGACTTCATAAATCCACATAAATGCCTCCACCATTGAGTAATCTGTTCAGTGAAATGCAGTATTCATTTTATCTGGAAATGTTGTCTTTCCAGTCCATTCTACTGTAGTCATCCGAACACTGTAATCTTTACCCAGATATTATTTATCCACATTCTTGTGCCACAGTTCTCTGAAGTTAATTGGTCCCACTTTATTTCCGTAAGCCTTCTGCCTCCTCCCTTTTGTTGTTTGTTTTGTTTTGCTTTGTTTCCTTTAGCTTTGCCATGTACTTTGGTTCATTGATCATCTTAAAGCTGCTCAGATGGGAAGGAATCTGGCTTTCTAGGAGGAAAATGTTTTGAGAGAGAGGAGGGAACCTTACCACATGGTCAGTTCATCATCGCTTCCTGGGCCAGCCATCCTTAAGCATGTGATTCCTGCTGCATCATGCTATTGTAGTTTCCAACCGGTTCTAAAGTCCCCAGGATAGGTGCTACTCTCACAGCCTCTTATGGGATTCATTTCCTCTCACACACGGTTTCTCTTTGTCTACCTAATAATCAGTTTCATAATTCTAAAGGAGTTTAAAATGTTCATTCATAAAACTTGTAAACTTTTTCTTTTTACATTGAAGTATTTAAAGAAAACAGATCTCTCATGCTCTTCTAGCTCTGCCTTCCATATTCCTTCTGGTGAGGCAAGCTGTTCTCCATCACTACTGCAGTGGACAGTCATAGGCTTTGTTCTTTATATTTCCTTCTCGTTGGCTCCCCCTTAAGCAAGGAGATATCTTGTATGTTTAGATGAGATGAAGGGAATCAGTGTGTTTGTAGATTTCTGTAGGTTGTAGAGGTACTATAGGACAATCCAGAAAAGTACGTACCCTGGGAATTCAATCGAAATGTCATCCCCAGATAGTGCTTTCTTCTTTCTCCACTATTCCTCCACATCCCCACCCCCACTTCTTGCACATTCTTTGAGCAGTTCTACTCTTATCCCATTAATTTCTCTAGAATCAAAACATCTTTAGGCCGGGCAGCTCCAAATCTTGTAATGCAAAGAGACAGAGCTCATCCAGAAGGCAATAGGCTCTGGAACATAAAGGTCTGTGACCTTAAAAAGATCAGACCTCAACATATTCTCAGGACCTCAGCCTTGTAACTTCAACAGGCAGTTCCTCTGCTACTTGGGAGCCAGCATCATGCAGCAAGGCAAGAGAAAATGAGGAACACTGGAAGGACAAGGCCCTGGTCACCATATATGCAGATGTCAGGGTGCAGTGTTCTACCTTGATGTCAGAAACAGTCAGCTTAGAAAACCCCTTCAACTAAGGGCATTGAACAAGTTAACCAGAGTCCCAGCTATAACAACAAACAATCCATAGGTGCAAATACAACAAGGTTAACTGGCTAGAACTGACTGGAGGCAAAGGAATCGCCTTCCTGTTAGCCAGTGGCATATTGGCTGCCCCCATCCATCTTTCAGCCTCTAAATCTTGCTCCTCCTTTCTGCTTAATATATTAATCTCTGCCCTCAAGGGGTAGAATGGAGAGAAAGATTCAGTCCTTTACTTGGTTACTGTGTGGGGTATGTGCCCCTCTTGCCTCGGTGGTAGCTTTGGATTCATTTATCATCTGCTTTCCAGGGCCTCTTGGTCACAGATAGCCATAGTCTGGTTCCCCAGACAGGCAGTATTAGTATCCCCTAGCAGCTTATTAGCAATTCGGATACACTGAGGTGTCAGTATCTGTACTTAAGAAGACTCCCAGGCAACATGTGTGCCATGGAAGTTTGTGCAGCACTGGCTAGACTAATAGGATTCTTTCTTGGGGTGCTTAGTGGAGTTGGAGAGAATCTGAGCGATGAACAATTTAGTCGGACAGGTTCACTACTCACAGCTAAACTTTTAGTGTCACCCTGTCTCTGGGTTCTATCCAGTGGATAGAAGGAAACTTCCTTGGCCAGAGTCGTGAAGAATAGCAGGCTCCAATCAAGGAGAGCTAGTGGAGGCCCATGCTGGGAACTGCCAGTGTTGGGCTCTGCTATAAGCTCAGCTGTATGTAGCAAGACTAATGCAGTCTCCAGGATCAGGTGGTTTCACTTTCTTTTCTCTATTGCTAATAAGATACTTTGATTTCAGTGCCACCTCCACATCTATTTCACTTCTTGTAAGCATAATAACAGCTAAGGGCATGGAGACCTGATTGTTGTATAGAGAGCAGGAAAAACCAAAATAAGAAAGAGAAAATAGGTCTTATATGATGGAAGTAAAAAGAAACACACAAACAAAATCATGACTGTTGTATCCCTGGTTATCTACTTCCTCACACGAGAATCACCACATTACATGATAACATTAGATTTGAAGCTGATTTTTACATTTTTATAGTTGGAAGTATGTAAGAAAGTACGCAAATCTTTCTCTTTACAATATCTTTATTCTTTGGTGTAAAGATAAGAGAGAGGAAGAGGAGAGAGCATTCCATTCTGTGAGTGATCCTATCCTTGCTGGTTATTTAGTTTGCTTCTTATGGCACTTTTTAAATACTAGATCAGCATCCCTCTCTCCCAGGGAACTTGTAGTAAAGACAGTTGATGTCTTTTCTCAGTAAAGCTGAGGACAGAGTTGTGGAGACTTTCCATAGTAGATCTCATTTGCTTGGCACAGGTTTCCATGACCTGCTCTTAAGAGCTATTTAAACCTCATTTTAGAAAGCCCTGGATGCCAGGAAGCAAAATCCTGTGCATGTTTATCTGAGTGGAAGTTAATGATGTCTCAGAGCTGGGAAGAACTGCTGTGCTGTGCTGTTTCTGACTTGAACTCTTCTGCACCCTTCTACTCTGAGGGTACCTGGATCTGATTGTCTGTAGCATTCATTGGTTCCACCACACTGAATCTGTGCAGTACCCGAGATTAAGCCCACAGGGCAGAGCAAGCATTCTACCAGCTGAGGCTCACCTCCAACTCTAGAGCAATAATGCTTAAACTGAGCAAGTCAGAATCACCTGGAAAGTTTACTAGACCTCCTTGTACCCCAAATAACTCTTCTTGTACCCCAAATCATTCTGGTTCCACCCAGGGAATCAGTTTCAGTAGATCTCGGGAGAGGCCCCCAGAGTCCACATTCTTGAAAATCTCCCAGGAGATGGTAATCTGCGGCTGCCATCCACACAGCACATTTTAAGTAGCAGTACATTAGTAAGTATGTGTATAGAATCACCCAGAAATGTCTGGGTTTCCTTCTCTTTTTCCTGTTGTCATATATTTCCTCCCATAGCTGTATCCCATTTTTCTCCCACTTTTTATGACATATATATATTTGCCTCATCATTTCTCTAAATCCCAAATCCTCAACAGTAATCTTATGTTTAAGGCAAAGACTTAATTTTACTAGGAAAGAAACTGGGCATAACTGAGTGTTGTATGTTTGGGTATGTAAAGAACCCTTTCCATTCCTTACCCGTCTTCTTTAGTGCTATTGTCTATGGGGGAAAAGATGTGTAGAAAGTGGTTGGCCTTTTATTTCTTGGAATGCTTTTAAATGATTCTTCTTACCCCAAGGGAAACCCTCATCCCCTTGAATATTGGGGTCTGCTACATGGTGCATCAGATCCTTACAGGGTGTAGCATGTTTTCCCTTGCCTGGCATCCCACTGTCCACATCAGTTTCCCTTTCTCTATAGATCCCATCACTGTTCTCTACCATATCAAGGCATGTTACTAGTATAACAGTTTCCAGTCTAGCATATACATAAGCATAATCAATAATTCCTTAATATTACAATAGAAGGATGCTCCATCAAGATAGACTGTCAAAAAGACATGGATCCCTTCACTTTAAACACTTTTAACTAAATGGGACAAGGCAGAGTCTGGAGACATCTATGCTTTAGCAGTTGGCCAATGGTATTGTTCTGTACCTAACCCCCTTTTCAGAAGAACATCCCAAAGTAAACAGGGCAAAGAGGTCTATATGAACTTGTAAGCAGTTGCTTCTTAAGCATCTTTCCAATAATATTGCAAAGTCTGTTCATACATCTGGGTAAAGTTGTTGTCAAAGTATACTATTTGTTGATCAATTCTTGCTCATATTTGCTTATTGGTCATCATTCTATGAAAGTTTGCTTTTTCCTCATTCGAGAAAGGATACAATGCAATCTTATCACCCACAGTCAACTGTAAGAAAGTTTAGTGGACCCACTGCCTCCAGACACGTGCCATGACATGTATATACCCATATTCACACACACACATGCACACACAAGCATGCACACGCACACTCAGGTAGAGAATGGATAAATGGGCTTCTTGCCATTCCGAGAAGTCAGGGCATCATCACTGCAAGAAGTGTGGTGCTCCTTAAATGCAAGAAGCATCTTTTGTACTGATTGAAAAAGGTGGAGATCAGCAGCTTCCATAAGAGCCTTCTTCAGTTTAGTCAACTGGGGGACTTCTAGAGCAAAGTGAGTATAATGGTAGAGTGAAGGTGCTCTGAGTTGCTCTATTTTAAATTCATTTTTGTATAATATACACTTAGAAGTATTCTGTGCTGATTAATTTTCATTACAATTATATCACCTTGGAAAACTATGAACCCAAGAAAACTAAAGTCACAGAGTGATCAAAAACCTCTTATTATTAAAGAAAGATTAAAACTTAACTATTTACTTTTCTGACATTAGGTTTTTTGTTGTTGTTGTTACTGTTTGGGGCTTTGGACCACTTAGTACATGATCTGGTTACTTATTTTAATTATCTTCTTTTCTCTTTACATTTTTTTTGGTCTTTCAAGACAGGGCTTTTCTGTGTAGCTTTGGCTGTCCTGGAACTCACTCTATAGACCAGGCTGGCCTCAAACTCACAATGATCCACCTGCCTCTGCCTCCTGAGTGGTGGGATTAAAGGCGTGCACCACCACTGCCTGTCACTTTTCACTTTATAAAACTAGCCTTAATAGTAAATTTTTAAATACTGCAAAGATAATTTGCTCTCATTTTTTTGCACATTATTTGTGGCAAGTCATTTACTTAAGGTATAGGAAGTAGAAGACAATACACTTAACATTTTCACTCTATCGTGTAGTCTTCAAATTTTAAATGGGAGAGAGCCATATCTCTTCTGTCTTTACCATCAGTCTCCAACAGAGTAAGTTCAGATATGAACTTTCTGAAGTATAGTTCAGGGAGAGAGCTAGGAAGGCATTGAAGTCTGATTTTTGTAATTATAAATATGATAGTCTAGATAGACTTGTTTTACATTATATGCATAGAAACCTGTTTCAAGGGTGAGGAGCTTGGGTCTAAATGGAGTTATTTTCTCATCATAGCATCAACGAGATCCTCGGCTGAATGAGATTTTATTCCCATTTTATGATGCTAAAAGAGCAATGCGGATCATTGAGATGTATGAACCTGATGAAGATTTGAAGAAGAAAGGTAATATAAATGAAAAACAGAATTAAATTTTAGTTTTCCTAAGACAATAATATGTATATCCAAAGCCCTTGAATTTTAATTAAAATATCTTAAACGCTTTGAGGCACCGTAGATCCAAAGATTAGTAATTAATTTATTCTCTTCCTGCTCTTCAATTAATTTAATTTGTATATTCCTTCAAGTGAATCCACACTGTCTGAAGTATACCACTACAAAATGTACTGTGTTGTGGAGAACATTGTTGTGATAACCCTATGTATTTGCTTATGTGCTAATATTTTATTTTGTATAGTGCTGAAAGGGCAGTCTTTGCGTCCAGCCTTTCAAAGGACTGCCTGTCACGTGAGAACCTGCACCTTCCTTTGTCCCCTATGTTTTGCTAAGCTGAATAACTCAGGACTTATTTGATGTGCTTCCTCATTCCTTGTTTGACCCCTGGGTTGGAAGATAAAAACACTGATAGTAAGGAATCATGTTAGCAAGTTGCCCTATTCCTGGATCTTTGTCCCCTTCATTTTGTTTTGGAAACAATGTGTTGCCCAAGTGTTAGTCAAAGGAAAAGCATGGAGAAGACTGCAGGGCATCCCTGCCGCAGGGGGCATGCCTGTGAGCCTGGCACTTAGCAACACAGTGGGGAGGCAAGCACCACTATCCTTGCTTCTCACAGCTTTTTCTTGTGGTCACCAGGATACCCTGACAAAAGCAACTCAGGTGGGGGAAAGGATTTATTTTGGTTGACATTTTCAGGAAATTTTAGTCTCTTGTGGTAGGAAAGCATGGTGTCAGGAGTGTGAGGCACCTGGTCATATCCTAGCAGGACTAGCAAGCAGAAATTCCCAGATCCTAGACATCCCCGCAATGACCTGCGTATTCCAGTAGGTTCTATAACCTCCAAAACAGTGCCACCCACTAGAGACTAGGTGTCCTAACACATCAGCCTGTAAGGGACATTTCACATTCAAACTCTGAGAATTCAAGACTGAATGACAGGTGCCTCCGGCCCCACCCACCCTGAAGGCAGCTGTGGTCTGTTCCAATGAAAGGCAAGTGAAACTTCTGTGTGAAGTGATAATGTAATGATTTATGTGTGTCTTTGTTATTTCTCAAGTCTAATTATAACTGACACCACCTAAAAAAAAGTAGCTTCTCCCTTTCACAAATGATAGAAACCTAAAGCCTATCTGAACTTAATGAGTGTAAGAATATAGCTCAAAAGACATTTCTCCTGGGATTTTAAATACACACATTTTAAATACATGTGCCCCCCAGGTAGCTCAGCATTTCCACTTGCAGGCCTGTTCCCTAGAGAGTGTCTCATACAGTCTCCAAATACTGACTGTCAGCGTGGTGAAGCATCTCATGTTAGACCTCTGCGTCCTCAATTCTTTCTTCTTGGAGTGGGGGAGGTATCCATGCAGGCCAGCATCTTTCAGTGTCTTCTGTATACATATGACTCCCAGAGTAAATCCTCCAGTCCTAATCTCTATCCTAAACCAGTGGCCTGCAGTAGACCTGCTCGTCTGCATATTGAACAAGCACATTTGCAAGATGCTTTGATTTTCCTGTCTCCATGTCTCTTCCTCTCACAGCCTATAAAAAGGTTGCATTACTCACTTAGGTTTTCAAGTCAGAATCTTTGGAATCACCCCGTATTTTTTTTATTTCTTTCACCTAGTTTTTATTTCTTTCACCTAGTTTTTTATGATCTGTCACCAAAACACACGAGGTCCAGTTCTCTTCATTTTCACTTTCTCAGACATTCAAGCCCACAGTGCCTTTCTAGGGGCAATGCCAATTGGCTTGTGACATCTTTATCCCACTTTTTATCCAGTACTGTGCTCCACATAGCAGCCAGAGGAAGCCTTTTAGAACACTGTCCCCACTGAAGCTTCCCAACACAAAAATCTCAAGTACTTAGGACTAAATCCTGGTAGATGCAGCCTTTGGCTTCCTCTCCAGCATCATTGCCCACCACATTCCCCAGATGTGGTTCATTCCACTTTGCATTCATTGAGTGAACTGAGAACACACACTTCTGCATCAAGATCTCTGCATTTGCTCATTCTTGTCTGAAAACCCCTCTCCTATGTGTTTGTGTGGCTTGTCCCCATGTATCTGTGTGGCTTGTCCCTATGCATGTATGAAATCTTAAAAAGATTTCTCTGGCCATGTATTTAATATTCTACCATGCATTTTTAGCTTTCATGTTTCTAGCTTTGTCCTTCCAATATGGCATTATAATTATTTGTTAATCTATCTATTTCTCTTACCCATCATATGTGAGTTTTGTAAAAATGGGATGTAGCTCTTTTTTCTGCACCTATCCCAGTGTCTCAAAAATATTTGCTGTTAGAATGAATGTATGTGCCAAGGATAGAGGCATAGAAACTTTGAATGTAATGCTTTAGTTGTAATTAGAAATGGCCTACATATCCAGAAACGCCTTTAATCTCAGCACTCAAGAGGCAGAGGGAGGCAGATCTCTGAGTTCAAGGACAGCCTGGTCTACAGAGCAAGTTCCAGGACAGCCAGGGCTACAAAGAGAAACCCTGTCTGGAAAAACCAGTACATATTAATTTCTGTGTGGACTACCATATATTCAGTGAATGATAAACTGTGTATGTGTGTGTATGTATGTGTGCATGTATGCACATAAGTGCATGGATGATTCAGATGCACATAGTGGTATAACCATTCTGTAAATTTGAAAATACTGGAAATGATCTGATTAAACATACATGTAGTTAACCTGAGAAACCATTTGGACAGTTTTATAAGAACTAAGGTAGTTCTTGTTATTTGGCAGCAGGAAAATGGAAATGTACAGCCCGTAGGCAGGCACAGTGATGCCATCTCTAAAAGGTGTTTAGAGTCCATCAAAGTCCTGCCTATGGAGCAAACTGTGCGACCTAAGCAAGCTGTGCATGATGTCCAGAGCTTTTTGGTAGATATGAAACTGTTTTCAGAACTTGCAAATGGTTATATGAAAAAGCAAAGGGCTGATGCTGCTGACTTTGTGAAACACTACTCTTTGCCCCTGCAGTTGCCACATAGGGCCTGCCCCATTTAAGAAAAGTGACTGAAATGAGCAGTGGCTTGTGTTTCCATGTTTCTCCCCAGCTCCACACTTTACCTTTCAGATCACTGTGAAAATTAAATTGTTTAAATTTGGAGAGGCAACCATTTCCAGGAAGGGCCCCTCCTCCAACCGAATGAGAATAACAGTGATTTAGAATTAATGCCACACACTTACAGGTATTCTCGGTTACCATACATGATCATCCTGGGCCAACATGTTTCCCACTTGGCCAGAGAAACCAGGAGATAGGCAGAAGGCAAGGGTGGTTGTAGCAGAGCCAGACAGAGGTCTCTCATCGCTGTGGGTCATAGCATAGTTTCTTCATTTGGAGGACTGCCACAGACTTTGCTACTTGTAATGTACCATTGTGCATTTTTGTTCAAGTTCTGAAAGGTGCAGGTTCTTGGGAAAAACTGTGGAGTTGTTTCTACTCTTATTTTTAAGCTGCTTCAACTTGGCTGGGCAAAATGTAAGATGTGCTTCTTCAGAGCCACAGTGCCACTCAGATTTTTTTCTCCCCAGGCCTCATATCAAGTGATGGGTTTTGCAGATATCTCATGTCAGATGAAAACGCCCCAGTCTTCCTAGATCGCTTAGAACTTTACCAGGAGATGGATCACCCCCTGGCTCACTACTTCATCAGTTCTTCCCACAACACCTATCTCACCGGGCGGCAGTTTGGCGGAAAGTCTTCAGTGGAAATGTACAGACAAGTTCTCCTGGCTGGTTGCAGGTCTGGAACTCAAGATGGCGATTTGATTTGTCTATATGTGGCACCTTTAGACTTATCATTGTCTTCCTCTTATCCCTCTGATCCCCAGTATTCCAAGATAGCCAGTGGATCTGCTAAGCAATGCTAATACCTAGTTCTATCTATCTATGCCCTCTTCCCCCAGTTTGTGAATACCTGTGATCAAGTTCTATCTACAAATTAGGCATAAAGAGCTTAACAACATTGACATTATTATTTTCTAATACTGTTTTGATATTGGCAGCATCACTACCTTTCAGCTTGTGACTGCTATTATGAACGTAAGGGTTCCTTGAATATAGGCACTGCAGTTCTATGACATTCTGACACCAAGGAAGGCCTTTAAGTGGCTGACAGGTGGTAGTGTGATAGAAAAAGCTTGTAGATTCAAAATACCTTTATTCAGATTAATACCAGTCAAATGCAAGCCAGAGTGTGCCCAGGGGCAGCAAGGCAGGGAGCCTAGAGAGAAGGGGCAGCAGAAGGGGAAGAGGGCGTTCCATGTGCTCGTGGTCGCTTAAGAGCCCATGCCGCATCATTCTGACCTCTCACCTTGACCACATCTTGACAGGCTTGGTCAGGCACACCTGTAGCCAGCCCCTAGGAGGTGTGGTTACGGTGTCTCCCTACAATTCCCCTTTTAGTCTTAAAAGAAGATTAAAACTTAATAGTATAAAATATCCAAAATTAACAATCATAAAGGTGAAATACAAGAAGATATAATAATCTGTTATTGAGGCTGGCTACAGGTGTCTCCCTACAGTAGTGAATGCAGAGTGATGTGCTGGGCATTGGACTGGTCCAATTCCTAGGCAGAACACTAGACTGTTGAATGATGCCATTGCACTACTCACAATGATATGCAATTTAAAACACAGAACTTTGCTTTCAAATCAGTGTTGACTCTAAATAACTGAACCATAGATAAGGCAGGACTATTGTAATTTACTTTTCTCTGCAATCAGAAATAGTAATCAGAATTAAAAGGACATTTACATTTCTCTTTAATAGATTATATTCATTTTACTTGAACTCAGAAAAGGTTTCACATAAAATTCTCCAGTCGTCTTGGGGGTCAAAACGCATTTACTTACTATGATTTTAAAATATGACTTCAAAGTCATACAATAAGAAAATAACATTTATTTTAAAAAGCCATATTAGGCTTACTGTTAGTTGTAGGTAGTTACAAATTTAGTTTGATTTAATGTTACAAAAAAGCTTAGGAATTTAGTCTGGTGGTAGAGCATTTGCTTAGCCTATGCAAAGTCCTGAGTTCAATCCTTACCATTGCCCAAAATAAAACAATCAGAGTTAAAAAAAAAAAAAGTGACAGCTTAATGTAAAGCTCAGTTTAGTTTTGTAAGTAGAGATCGCTGAAAGTGATTTTTATAGAGATAAGCAAGTATTTAAGGTTAAAATATTACAAAAAATGAGAAATGTAGTTTGCTATGATTTTTTTGTAAATATTTTTAAGCTCACTGTGTTTTGTGTACAAAAGTGCTACAAAGGAGATTAACCCCACCCTTACCTCATTGGTATGTTTTGTTTCAATATCTTTGTCTGAATCATAAAAAAGCATGAGTGTTTCTTGCTTGGTCCTGAGAAATAACTGCCTTGAGAGCTTTGTGCCCACTAGGCAAGGATTCTACTACTGAGATATATGTCAAGCTTTCATTTTACTTTTTACTTTGAGAAAGATTCTCACTTATTTGCCCAAGCTGGCTGTAAACTCTTAATAAACTGGGATTACCTGGATGCCACCAGGCCCAGCTCAAAAAAATTTCCCAACATAATGAAAGTAACATTCTATGCAGTGTGTTTATACATAAATTTTGACATCACCCAAGCCTGGCCTGTATTGCAAATGTTCTGTTGTCCTCTATTGCAACTTGGTTCTAAATATGATTTTATTGAGAACCAGGCACCTTATTATATCCATTCAGTCTCGGTCTCTCACTCACAGCCCTGTTTTTTGATGACAACAGGGTGAGGAGTGAAAGGTAGTTTTAACCTGTGCGTTCATGAAATACCCATGTTCCTCATTCAGTTTTCTGACCTTAAGAAGGTGACTTATTTTGATGTTTCTTTGACTTTATGCTTAGTTTCTTGGTAAGGGCTCAGTGTTGTAATTTGACTGTGTTTCTAGGTGTGTTGAACTTGACTGTTGGGATGGAAAAGGTGAAGATCAGGAACCGATAATAACTCATGGAAAAGCAATGTGTACAGACATCCTTTTTAAGGTGGGTTTTCACCTTTCACGGTTATACCTTTCCCAGATGGTTGTGCAAATGCAGGAAACAAGAAAACAATTTTCTTTCTTTTTTTCTTAAGCAATGTATCTTCTCATTTTAAAGAGAAAGTCAAGACAAAATGTTATTGGTCATATAATATTCTCTTCATGGTATTTGTTTTTTGGCTTTCAAGAGGTAACTATGATATAATGAAACCCTTTAGCAGACAGAGCCTACCTAGTTTTACTCCAAAACAATTTTTTTGGCACAGTTGGGTGCCTAGTTACTTGAGAGGCTGAGGCGGGTGGGGGGGGGAGATTACTTGATTTCAGGATTTTGGAAAACATAGTGAAAACTATTCTCAAACAAAACCATTTTTTAAAAAAATCATATCTACCTATTTCTTGCTTGCTTTCTGTTATTCCTGAAAGACTTCAAGGTAGCATATAAAGAGAAACAAAGTTGATAAGTAAGCCTTATCATAATGAGATAATGAATTTGGTATTGTGAATGATTTTTAGGAAGTCTTCTAAATTTGGAAGCCACACACAAATTGGGCCCCACATTTTCAAAAGATTTGGAACAAGGGTTGAACCATAATTCACAGGACCACCAGATAGCATGGTCAATAAGTACTATGGCCGGTGAGAAATCTGCCTTCCACAAGCCCCTCACCAAAAGGATTATGTAGTTATAAGCAAGACCCCTCATAGAGCCTTTGAGTGGTTTCTACATGTGATCCTATATGTCCATGGTATAGCACTGCAGGTAAGAAATTATGTGTTGCCTAATGTCAGATACATCTGTGCCTGCTGCTTTGTGTAGGTCAGGAGAGATAGTAACAATGTCTGGGACAATGGCTCTTAGCTCTGCCTATTGTGAAATCACCACTGTATCTCCAGAACCACAGATGCCTCAATTCTGTACATGGAAAGTTCCATCCATATCAGCTCTCTTTGCTAGGGTATTGGTGACTTGTAATCAACGCTTCCTAAGAATCAAGAGTATATTAAAGTGACAGTGTGGATTTATATCATCATCAAATGACAAAAATAGCGGTGTCCTCTTTATGGAATTAAGGACCCCAGTCAGAATGCAGCATGGAACAGAATCACCCATAAGGAAAGCAGACTCCAAAGGCAAAGGCAGAATATTCCTCCAGGAATAATTCTTGACTGTTTACACTAGATGATCAAGTTTTTGGTCATTCTTACCTATGAATAAACTTTAAGAAAGAATACTTAAATGACTGCTGCATTCATAAAATGTCTCAACAGTATCTATTCAGGTTTATCATTTCAACTGCACTCCCATAGGTAATTATTCTAAAAATACTTTCAGACTTGCTGAGTGATGTGGCTTGCCCTATGGTTAGCTACAGACTAGTAGAACTTGGAGATTTTATAGTGTGATACTCTGATTATAGAAGCTTTGGTTTGAAGTCCTTTTTTCTCAAACAGACATGCGCATCAACAGTCGGATATCTGTTTCATGTGATGCAAGGTATATGGAGGTGTAGGTATAAGTGTAAAATTAAAGTCAGAGCCCTCTCTTGTTTTGCTTCACATGTTACTTGACCACAGAGGAGATCCACTGCTCACTAGGCTCCCACGAAATAATGGATATTGTAGTTGTCACACACAGTACGCTGAGATCACCAAAGCATGCTGAACCTACAGTCCAAAATGACTCTAAACTCAGAAGAAGGCCAATCTGAAGCTTTCTGAAATCTTTGTGATATTGCTAACACATTTTCTCAGATGCAGGACCAGCTGAAGATTGGTTTCTGATGAAAATTCCTGTACAAAGTTAGTGTTCTCCTCAAGGAGAGTGATGGGGGCTAATGGCATGGTTTAGTGGTTAAGCACTTGTTTCGCATGCACTGAGCCCTGGATTTGAACCCAAGTACTGCAGAAACCTGGTGAGATGGACCAGAGTCCCTGGCTCCAGACACTGTCAGGGAGAACTGGCAGGCCACTCAAGTCACTTAATAGCACTAGAGAAATAAAAGAGAGCTTTGAAAAGCAATGTCCTAAACCTCTTGTGTCTCCCCAGGGGAGGTATCTCTGCAGATATGTTCTCCAGGTCAAAACTGTTGAAGCTGATTTTCTTGCAGTGCTCAGTTAGTGGTCTCTGAATAGTATCAGGTGCCTTAAATCCATCTGTTCTTTCCTCTCATAAACACGCTTTGTCTTTAAAGGATGTAATCCAAGCCATCAAGGAAACAGCATTTGTCACATCGGAGTACCCTGTAATTCTCTCCTTTGAAAACCACTGCAGGTATAAAAGCTTAGTCTTTTCCATGTCCCTACTTGGTGGTGTTTCAAATCTCTGGTTCCTTATCCTGCTGCTGCTCATTCTTTTTTGTTTTAATAACTGAGTAGTTTCCTCTCTGATGGGTTAAGTAGGAAATAATCCTCCATCCAGAACAGTTTTCCAACTCTGCCCAGCAAGAAGCCATCTTCTTATGGCTCAGAAATGCTTTCTCCAAACAAAAGGTCAGAAATTGGGACACCTAGTTTAAAGTTCGTTTGAGATGGAAAATTTGGCAATAGCTTGGAAGGTATTTTTCTATTTTTCTTGACAGTTTTTAATTTTAAGTTGCACCGGTTCAAGTTTGAATGGTACTTAAGAGTGTAGCTCCAGTTAATGTTATGAAAACAGCCTTGAACTTTGCAGAGCAGGAGGAGCCTTTAGTTATAGGGATGGATATCTCATTCTTGGAGAGTTAATGGACATTTGAATTTACAAATGCTACTTCTTTCTCCCCAGCAAATATCAACAGTACAAGATGTCCAAGTATTGTGAAGATCTATTTGGGGATCTCCTGTTGAAACAAGCACTGGAGTCACATCCAGTATGTATTTTTAGCAAACCATATTTCCAGCATGAATGGGTTTGTTTTGAAATGTGTTTTTCAGGGGTCAAGTAGCACTGGAGGACGAATACTAAGGATTTTCATATTTATTTAGATTCTCTGGTACAAAAAGCTTTTATCTTGCTTCAGAAGGATGTCGAGAGGAGCATAAAGTAAACATGTAACTCGGTTTCATCTGGATGCTCTTGGGCTCTCATGTTTTAAATTCCATAAAGCTTCCAACCCAAGAGTCCAGGCAGGCTTCATGGTGCTTCCCAGTGTTGGCCACATACTGCGTCACTTCAGACACCTGCAAAAACACCTGTGCTAGGGCCCAGCCTAAGATGTTGTTTTGTTCCTAACTGGCCCAGCACAAGCAGGTGTATTTTTAAAGCCCTCCAGGTAAACAAATGTGCACCCAGGGTGCAGATCTCTTGGGAGCCTGTTGCTGTGGGAAGTGCTCCAAACTGATGTCATAAGCTCCAAAGTTCAAGTTCCCAACTCCAAAATAAATACTTAGGCAAAGTCACATGGCTTTTTTTGAGCTTCATTGTATAGCTGCCCGATTCTTCATAAAGGGGCTGTTCCTATGTCTGTGGTGCATAGAAGGGCTTTATGAAGTCTGAACTGGTGTGTAAATTGTTCAGAATAGTTCCTTGGATTTCTGGCAGGATACATAATGTCCAAGAGGATAAGATGCACTGTAACAAGATGTCACCAGAGACAAGGCTTCCTGAAGTTAAAGTGTTTTGTCGGGCTATGCGGCCCTCCTGAGGACATAAGAACATTAGGCAATAGGAGAAGGACAGGACAGTAGATGACGAGATGCTATTTGTGCTACGGGAGTAATTTGGCTGGTTTAACCATGACTTTTTCCCAAAGGCAGGTGTGGCAGCTGAAAGCACAATGAGAGAGGCTAGGCTGCATCCTTTGTTCCCTACCTGACTCTCTGCAGCCTGCTGAAGCATCATGGCAGGTGCTGCCCATGTCCTCCCAGCACTTCCTCTTTCCCCACCCCCTGACCTGACTGTTGGCTGACAGTGTCTACAGCTTTTTGCTGGTCACTGATGAGGCTCTCCTCACACAAGAGGGTCTGAGAATGAGCACCCCCCACCAGTCCCTGTACTCTGCGTTCCGAGGGGCCACTTCTAAACACCTGTTCTCCTCTGTCCCTTGGGCTCCCCAGCAGGACCTCCCTGTGCACCACCCTCAGGTGCCCACAGTGATCACATCTAAATACCACACCCTTCACTGGCTCTCTTCTCTTTCTGATTTTTGTACCCCTCTGTTGATGTCCGCAAGAGCCAGCTCTCAAATAAACTTATGGTAGACTAATCCTTGTCTAGGAAGCTGATTCTGAGGGATTCCATACTAAAAGACAACCCTTAGTCTGGCCCCTCTTCATGTTCTCTAGAGCAAGAGAAGAAGCTTGATTTTGGAGAAAGGCCATTATATTCTTAATGAAGGGACATATACATCTCCAGGGAAGGGACCAGTCCCACCCAACAGCCTGTGGCACGCAGGGCTCTGTTAAAGGTCTTCACAAGGCAAGACACAGACTTGTTTGTCATACATAGGATAAAATAGTAAGTTTAGAAATAAATGGCTGTGTAGGAAGATGCCTAGGTAAGAGTGTAGCTGGGTGGGTAGGGAGTGAATGTGATCACCGAGAATAACGTGAACAGACGTAACTTCTGGTAAAGGACAAGCAAATGAAGCCAGAGTGAAGTTCACATTCCAGTAATTCAAACAGCTCTCATTTTTAGTGAGTCTATTAAAATCCCAGGTCAGTCTATTGAGAAGACCGGCTTAGTCTATGATCTGGTGCAGATGGAGGGCGATCTAGGGCCTTTCAAGTGCTACTTTATGATGGACCTGAAATTTGAAAGGCCTACCATACAGCAGGACTGGCATCCCCCAGCATCACTCAGGTCAGACCCTACCCTACTAGGGAAGTCGGGTCTGGTCTGTTGTACACCCCAGAAGATTAGGGGTTCCAAACCTGCAGTGTTATTTCAATCACTTGGACCGGGTGAAGTGAGAAGGGTTTGAAAGCAGAGCTGTGCAGACTGACACCTAGTGGACATGGGCTGGTATGACTTCAGGCCTCTGGGTCTCGCCAGGACTGGAAAAAGAAGAGAGAAGTCACTAACAGCTCTTTCTGTCTGTCTCCAGCTTGAACCAGGCAGGCCTTTGCCATCCCCCAATGACCTCAAAAGAAAAATACTTATCAAAAATAAAAGGCTGAAACCTGAAGTTGAAAAAAGTAAGTCAAATGCGCATGTATCTTTGGGCAGCGTAGCTGTCCGGGTGAAGTGTGATTTAAAACTGCTTGCAGATTTGAGAAGGGAAGGGTAGGATATCGATATTACATTCACTTTCCAGGGCTGTGTCACTGCATCCCATTTGTCTCTACAATGGGTCCAAGCAGTGGGAAGCACCAATTCATGCGCTCATATGCTGAAATACAAAAGGAAAAGGAAAAAGGAAAAACAGTGTTTGTATTTTTATGGGTCTTGTCACAGTTTCACTCATAAAAGTTGAATTAATTTACACTCACATTGGTGGTTTCTAAAAATCTCTTCTCCGAGAATATTCATAGTGCTGGTTACGGTCCACCTTTGACATGTATGTTTTCCTAAAAGAAAAGAATGTGATTTATTTTTATTTGTTTTGCTTTTGACAATTTAATTGTATATTACACTTCACCCCTTTATGTGTTTCTCCACTTCTAAAATGTAGAGAAATTTGTTTCCTACTTGCTTCTAGTGTTTTATTTACCAGGATAATAATCACAGTCGTATTACTTGCAAATACTCTCCTCCTATAGCTCTGTTGATCTCTAGCACGCATGCCAGTTTTCTACCATGTCATTGGCGTTGCTCCTAAATCTTGGTTCTCTAAATTGGGAACATTTGATATCTATCTTTACATACTGATTGCTTCTCCAAACCTGGCAATCGGAAATGGGAGGGGATTTACCTGTGGTCCAGTAAGTTTTCCTGCTGTGTATGTAACATGCTGGCTTCACAATTCTTACACAGACACAAGCTGTAGGTGCCCATGTGACATGATACCTTTTCCCATCCTCAGTGTTCATCTTAAATCCCACATTGTATAAGCGATCTCACATATCCTTGTTTGATTTTACTAAATAGAGCAGCTTGAAGCTTTGAAAAGCATGATGGAAGCCGGAGAATCAGCTGCCCCAGCTAACATCTTAGAAGATGACAATGAAGAGGAGATAGAAAATGGTGAGTTGTGGGGCCAGGGAAATGGCTTCATGGGTAAAATGCTTATCATGCAAGCATGAAAACCTAAGTCAGAATACCCAGAAGCCACATGAAAGCCACATGCTTACCATGACCATCTCCAATGCCAGTGTAGATGGGAAGTACAGACAGGAGAATTTCTGCAAGTTCGTGAGCCAGCTAGTTTGACAAAAGCAGTAGAAAACAACCAAGAGAGCCTGTCTCAAAACAAGGTGGAAGATGAGGACTGACAACCAAAGTTGTCTTCTAACCTCCACATGTATGTACGCTGTGACCTCCACATGAATGTATGCTGTGACCTTCACATGCATGCATGCTGTGGGCACATACACAATCTCTTTCACATAGTGTCAGTAGCACACATAAACATCCTCCACACAGACATCACATGAACACACACACACACACACACACACAGTGTAGAGTTGTCATTTCAAGCTACATGTTATGAAAATGTTTATATTAGAAATAAAAAGAGTAATCTCTTTTTTATTTTTTTTTTTATTTTATTAGTTCTAGTTAGGGACCAACAAGTCCCTTCTCCCTCTCCCTCCCCTCACCCCCAAACTTCCTCCCC